ATATTCTTCTTAGCAAAGTATCTCAAGAATAGAAAAAAAAGTATCCAATGTACTCAGTCTTACTATGAAACCAATGTATAGCTTTCTTATGAAAGCTATAACCCAATTATAGCCCAAGAAGGAGGGAAAAGGGGAGAGGGGAGGATGGGTGGAGGGAGAGTAATTTGTAAGACTATACCTACGGGGCATCTTACAAGGGTACATGTGAAATTTACTAGGTGCAGAATATAAATGTCTTAACACAGTAACTAAGAAAATGTCGTGAAGGCTATGTTGACCAGTTTGATGAAAGCATTTCAGATTGTATGTAAAACCAGTACAGTGTACCCCATGATTGCATTAATGTACACAGCTATGATTTAATTTAAAAAAATCAAAAAAAATTTGCTTTATGGGAATAATGACGTGAGTACTAAGCACAATGTCGAGAATGTGATAAATACTCAAAAATACAACAGCTGTTAAATAAAAAAGAGATACTAATTTTCTGCAGCACTGTTATCCATCCAAGAATTATAAGTGTTCATCTTGCTGGCTTTTTTGAAACACACACACATACCTACTTTTCCAGGAAAGATTCTCATTCTTTCATGGTGCAGATAAGCAGCTTATTTTACAGAATCAACTAAACGCTTCTTATATATCATACTTCTCCCTTTAGAGCTGTGGTTTTTCAAGTAGGGATGATTTTTTTTCCCTCCAGGGGATATTTAGCAGACGTTTTTTGTTGTCACAACTACAGGAGTTGGGGTGCTACTGGGATCATATAGGTAGAGGCTGAGGGTACTGCTAAATATCCTATAATGCACAGGATAGCCATCCACAAAAGAATAACTATCTGCCCAAAATGTGAACAAACAAGGTTGGAAAACTTCATTTATGAGCTTCTAATCTGTAGAAATAAACCACAAAGTCAATCATGACTTACAGGCAGTGTTATAGACTGAACATGTCCCCCCAGAATATGTATGTCAAAATCCTAACCCCCAGGGCAGCACCTGTGGCTCAGTGAGTGGGGTGCAGGCCCCATATACCGAGGGTGGTGGGTTCAAACCCAGCCCTGGCCAAACTGCAACAAAAAAATAGCCGGGCATTGTGGCGGGTGCCTGTACTCCCAACTACTTGGGATGCTGAGGCAAGAGAACTGCCTAGGCCCAGGAGTTGGAGGTTGCTGTGAGCTGTGATGTCACAGCACTCTACCAAGGGCAATACAGTGAGACTCTGTCTCTTAAAAAAAAAAATCCTAACCCCCAGTGTGATGGTATTAGGAGATGGGGACTTTAGGAGATAATTATGTCTTGAGGGTGGAGCCCTCACTCTGCCTGCTCTCTACCATGTGAGGCTATCTGCAAACCTGCCCAGACAATGAATAGACTAGCACCTTGATCTGGGCATCCCAATCCCCAGAACTATGAGAAATAAACTTCTGTGGTTTAAGTCACCCCACCTATGATAATTTGTTATAGCAGCCCAGGCTAAGATAAGTAGCCTTAGAGAAAATTACTGGAATATAAACTAAATAAGCTTTTTATAATTAAATTATACTCTGCCCTTATCTACTACATTCACCTTATAATAAGACATCTTAATAAACTAAAAGGATGGAATAATAGTAAAAACTAATATAAGGTTTTAGTTAACCAATTTATGAAATATATGAATTTTCTTTTGGCTTATTACTTCCAATAGTAGTGTGGGATTTTTGTTTTAAGGAAATAGAATGCCACTTACAGGACTCTAGTATTTTAATTACCTTTCTAGCTGGAGAAGTGAAATCTTCTTCAGTTGCTTCAGATTTCTTAGATCTTTTCTTAGATTTTTTCTTAGACTTTTTGGGAGTACTGATTCTGGTGAATTTCATTCTGAAAAAAGATAAGGTATTCAGAAACATTTGCATGATTATAATGTATAAGAATGTCAATACAATACAGAGAATAACTAGTGCTCTGATTTCTGGACTGTTCTAAAACAGGAAGAAAGAAATAACTCCATCAGTTTCAAACCACTAATTCAAAAGAAAGCCATACACTCTTACTTTCTTTAGAAATAATGAGCTTTACAAAAAATTAGCCCTTGGCTTGGCGCCTATAGCTCAACC